GAGAGAGAGAGAGAGAGAGAGAGAGAGCAGAACCATGATGGCATGATGTGCATGACATGGGGAGGGTGTGGGGGTGCGCACAGGCCCAAAATGCCCAGCCACAGACAGGCCCAAGCCCATGCAAAACGATGGAGGCCGATGGAGGGCGCAGCAGAAATATGCCAACGTGGGCAAATTTCTGATATACCCCGGTAGCTCCCATCCCAGGGCCAGGGGAACGGCCGCGACTGCCAACAACGGCCGTGGGGGCATACTGGAAAGATGCATGGTACCGGTAGGGGCATATAGCAAATTCTAGTGCAGGTCCTCAACGGCCGACAGGTAGGGGCATATTGAAAAGTTGGCAGCGGTACCGGTAGGGGCATATTGAACATATTCGAGGCCCAAGTGACGCCGGGGGTTTTCTGGAAACTTGAGTCGTTGTCAGAGGGGCAATTCAGAAAAAATCGGCCGTCCGAGGGCAAATCACAAATAAACGGAAATTTTAGGGGCGTTTTGCAAATTTTCCCCAAAAAAAATCCTACTTTCAGAAAGAAAACAGCGCCCGTCAGAACGGGCACCTGCCATGACTTGGGCCTCGCTGGACTACTGTCCAAATGTGCAAAATGAGACTGAATTCACGGCTAGAACATGGAAAGATACATTGCCATCTTGTTTGTCTTTTCTGCTTGTGGAGAGTAGTGCAGCGAGCCCTATGGGGGCTTTGGGCCTCGCTCCACTGCTCACCAAATGTGCAAAATGAGAATGAATGTTCCTGTAGAACATGGAAAGATACACCACCATAATATATTCTGTCGTTTGTGCATGTGATGAGCAGTGGAGCGATGCTGTGTGCCCGCTCTCCAAGGGAAACCAATTTTTTTTTTGTTTTTTTTGTTTTTTTCTTCTTGTGAAGGGCATGACTGTGGGCATACTCACACGAGGACCAAAAGACCCCAAATCCCAAAATTTGAGTCATTTTTTGGGTCACACTGGAGAGGCTCGCTACCCAAATGCCTCAAACGGTGACCCTTCTGTCAGCGGCCTGCCGGGCCGCGGGCATACCCTTTTTGAGACCACCTCCGGAGGTGGTCTCAAATTATCTTTCGTTTTTTTTTTTCTTCTGTTTCCGCGTATTGAAGAGAATCGTAGACGAAGAAGACAGCCCGCCAAACAACTAAAGTGCAACCAGGAACATTTACGTGGTAGATAAGGCCCAACCATTATACGAGCGTGAAAAATAAAATAAAATAAAACAATCCATCTTTTCGTTTGGTTCTCCCCCGTGTGACCAGGTGCACTTGCCCTGAATGCAAAGTGTCGGGGTCGAGACTTCGTCCTTTCTGGACGAGGTCCGCCCGTGTGACCACACGGGGACCAAATGCGTAGAAAAAGCCCAACCAAATGCCTCAAAATTTTCAGACTTTTGGGCCCCGTGTGAGTATGCCCTGTGTCCTCTCAATTCGTGAAGACAAAAGACATCAACAGAAAGAAAAACTGAAATGGATATGCCATTTTAAGGAAAAAAACAGTGCCTGCAACATATGGGGGGTACTTCCTGTTCCACGTTTCCCTCTGCCCACCACTTGGCGGGTTCTTTGGGTTCTCTTTCTTCCATTTTTTCAGGCTTTGTTTTTTTTTTTTGGTTCTTTTTTTTTTAGCTTTGTTTTTTTCATGTGGCCATTGGCAAAAAGCCAACGGCATTCTAATGGGCCTAGCGCACTTTGGTACACCCACGACCTGTTAGAATGCAGCCCAAAGTTCGAATCCAGTGATATCTCATATCTCAAGGCCGTCGCCCTTT